TTGTTCTCAATTAAAGGAATTAAGATAATGATTGGTTTCATCTCCCGAGATAACTCTTATAACAGAAACTTGCAGCTGAAGGTGAGTATTTAGAGCCACAGAAGCTCTGAGTCACTCTTCTTATTTAGGAAGGTATTTATGAATCCACTCATCACTGTTATATACCAAGACTTCTGTGCTACCGCAGAAATTCTTTTGTACCTTGCTGCATTGTTATATTTTAGTTATAGAGTTTCATATTCACCAAGAGATGAAGCCACTTTGGCATTTAATACTGAACTGTGGCATGACTAAGGACCACCCCAAATCCCAGTGTGCCCCACAGAGATTAAATTTCATTTTACCCTCTTCAGGATAGGGTTTTAGTTACCATAGGATTATAAACCTTGGAAAAGCCCACTAAGGTCACCTAGTCCAACCACCAACACATCACCACTATGCCCACTAATCACATATCTCTCATTGCCACAGCACAACACAGAGGTGTTCAGAAGATACCATGGTGGTCAAAAGCACCTCCAAACATGCTATGAAGGCTGACACCTCTCAGGGAGCCTGCAGTAATTGAGCAGATCTTTTGGGAGCCTTGTCACATTTTTCACCCTTGAAGCTTAGCTCTGGGTCTGTTTCTTCTGCAGACAGGAAGGGCATTTCCTTCTCCAGGGTTTCTCTCATCCTGAAGTGGGACAGTGGGCTCCCTCTCTCCCTTTCATGCAAAAAAGGATTAACTCTCATTCAAAGTACAATGTAAACTGAGTGCTGCCCTGCTATGCAGCCTGTTCAGTGTTCTTTACAAGGAGAGTGGTTAGGCCCCGGAACGGGCTGCCCAGGGAGGTTGTGGATGCCCCGTCCTTGGACGTGTTCAAGGCCAGGTTGGACGGGGTCCTGGGCAACCTGATCTAAATGTGTATGTTTGGTGGCCCTGCTAGGCAGGGGCGTTGGAACTACATGATCCTTGAGGTCCCTTCCAACCCGGGTGATTCTGTGATTCTGTGATTCTGTAACACATATGGTAGGTACCACTACAGTAACCATGCTCACACACACAAAACAGTTCTTCTGTCTTGTAGATTCAAGATTCCAATATTCATACGTAATGTGCTTCAGCCATATCACTCTTCAGCATCTTCAACTGAAACGTGCTGAATGTTTATGCTCTCTCTGGGGCAGGCTGTGGGGCAATCATGCAGCATTTGCATGAGCAGTGCAGTCAGGAATCAAACCCACTCTTGAAATGCAAAATCATCCTTCATCTGTCTCAGGATACACTGCTTCCATCAAGGTAAATGCATCATGGTGAAAGTATTAACTGTACAATAGAAAATCGTGAAACTTAGCTCTCCTGTAGGATGTAATGCTTGTCATATCAGATTCCATACACATGCTTTTTTTGGATACTTGAATGATTCAAAGCCCTCTTTGAAGCTACTGTGTTTGAAAAGTTACAAGTACTTTTCATCAAGACTGCCAGGAAGTCATTAAGACAGTAGAAGAATCTTTTATATCTCCAAAATCCCATCACTCCCACACTTCTAAGGCACAAACATCTCCTTGGGAAGTACTCCTTAAAGGCACAGAAATAAATAAGGCATACAACCCATAGGCAAACACCAAAATCAACAACTTAAAATAAGATTTTTGCAGTGTTCCAAAGAGTTTTACGTTTATTTAAATCCATAAATCAAGAATATGTTTTCTGAGTGTAGCATCACCTACTGGGCATTTTCATTACTTCCACTGCCTTTGCCTCAGTTTGCACACTAGATTTTTCAGCATCACTCACTCATGTTCAAGTTGCATTTTGGTAGGAATGAACTTGGGCTTGTACACCGTTCTTCACAAATTTTCTTTTGCATGTAACATGCCATACATCCAGCCACACCTCATCTGGTTCAGTGGCACAGCATAGGCCTGCTTTTATGCCAGATACCAAACATATGGCGAGACGCAGGTTAAGACTGCCAAGTCAGCTGGGACAACTTTAGTAGACCAAAGGCACACTAGTTCAGTAATCCTATCATTAAGTGCATTCGGAGAGACAGCGTTAGCATCAGGCACCGTCACCTTGGACTTCATTTCTTGCCCTGGTAAATCAGTGTGCCTCTCTAATCTTTCATCAACATGTAGGCATGTAGATAACCTTGAGTTTGGGCTCCAAGCACTGGTTAAACCATTGAAAAAATGTTGCCTTAAAGCCACACTCACTAAAATGATCATTTAATGCAGACTTTAAGAAATACACTTTCACCTCTGGCCTGCTCTCACTCTCCAGTGGCTGCACAGTTATGTTCCCTGTCAATTTCCTCCCTTATTGTACTTGCATTTCAGAAGGAAACGAACCTTCAAACAACCCTACCCTCCACCCCTTGTCACCCATCCCACTCCCTCCCTGCTCTGAATTCCTTTGCCATTACTTGATTTCCACTTTGTGCTCCCCACCCTCCTGCAGGTAGTCAATCACTACCAAAGCCACAGATTTTTGTCTGCAGTTTTCCTACTGCTTTCTGCTGACTGGTCCTTCTTGCCACTGCTGCCCGCTTACATGAATGGAATCCAGTGATGCAAGGATGACAGTATTTTTCTGAACAGCAGAAATAACACCATGGCATATCTTTAGTACATAAAACACACTTTTTCCATCTTTGCAATGGTTCAAAACCAGCATCTATTTTTTCAGTGTGAAAAATAGCAAAACTTTTGGAATCAAAACAGAAAATTATAATCTTTACTGGAATGTGAAAAGCAGACCTATACATAATAAATTTCCCCATTGGAACAAGGTGCTGAGCATAGATTGTAACTTCAACACATTGTCTTATTATTTATATCATTAAAAACAACTTGTTTTTATCCTGATGTTACAATAATTGCATTTATAGAGGCATTACAGGGCTCTGGGACACACTGATGCCTTCCCTGTACTTTTCTACAGCCTGTGAAAGTAGAGGGGTGACATAAACAAAATCTGACATCTCCCTCCCTATAGATTTTGACAAGACCACTTAGTAGGACAGATCGTGAGTCCAACAGAAAATCCAGGTAAGCCTCAGCTGCACAGGTATTGCACTTAGAACAAAACAGGCACTTTCGATTAGTGTAACTTTTTTTTTTTTTATTTCAGTTACTTTTTTCACATATAACTTCATATAAGCTACAAAAAGTGTGAAATGCAGAAATGATATTAAAACTGCAAACTTAAGTTTTGATAACAAAAATAAATGTGTCTTTCCCTGTTAACAATAACCATTTAAAATGAACCATATTTTGATGGATTCATTTAATAAACATACCATACACTTCCCAAAAATAAATAAAGAACATAATCAGAAGAAAAAAAAAATCAATACCATCAACAACATGAAGCATTTAGTTGTCCTTTTTTTTTTTCCCTTAAAGACAAATTAAATTTCTAGGCACAGTTTTAGGCATTATAGAGGACACAGAGGCAATAGGTTAGTGTGCACTGCTCTGTACAAAAATACAGTCTGAATAAATTACATTGCTAGCCATAAGATTAGACTTCACTTACCAGTCAGTTCATTGCATGTTTAATAATATACAGGTACATGCTAATCCATATATATCATTTATATTTCAAACACATAGGTCTCTCTATATTTGTTTTTAAAATTTACAAAAACTAACCGAAGTTGTGCAAGAAGTCCAGAAGAGGTGCTAGGTACTTGTCAGCACCGGACGGTATACTTTAAGCCTAAAAAATACAAATAACTAGCCCTGCTTGCAAGTCCGCTATATATATATATATATTTATATCTTCATTCATACATATTTGGATGATAAACAATGGATTTGTGTGGGGAAAAAAAAAATCCTGTCAGTGAGATAAAGCCAAACAACTGAAATAATGATGGCATGACACAAGCATAACACTCAAAAGGAATAATTTGTTGTACAGACACACAAAGACATGTGCTGTTGTGTTTGTTTTTGTGTCTAGAACAAAAAATAGGGCAACATTGTAGTCACTTTTCATTCAGCCCTGAAAAGCAGCATTTACTAAAAAAGAAGAAACTGAAGTAGCAACATAAGCTAACAAGAGGTTTCCAAGTTGATTAAGGTAGGTGCCTAAATCTGAACACTGCTAACGGACCTGAGGAGTTTGAGAGGTGCGTCCTCACAGCTAACGTTAGGCTCTGGAGGAAAATCAGGTGCTGAGACTGAAAAATTGATTCTCCAACTCACATATGAATGAAGAACTTTGTTATTAGGCATCCATGTTTGTAGGGTTTTTGTTTGTTTGTTTGTTTTTTGCCTGAACATCATTCAAATTAAGAGCTGTGTGACTTTAGGAGTGCTAGCGATTAATCTGTGTGTGCCTTAAGGCTGACGCTTGATTTCACTCAAATTCTACATTTTAAAAAAAAACCACTATCTGATAAATTAGAAGATGCGATACGAGTTAAGCACAGTAACTTCCTGCCAGAATAGGCATAGTACTGTGCTACACTGGCACCAAAACACCGCTCTCCTAGAAAGGTACAGCGATCTTCTCACAGTGGGCTTCTCTATGTCAGCCTAACTCCCACGCCAATCTACAATACTTTCTGTGCTGCTAAGTAACAGCACAACTACACAGCTGTTCAGAAAGATATAGTTTACTGTATACTGATTATCTGCCTTAAGTCAGCCTCAGGAAGAGCAGAGTTATGAATGCTCTCTGGTGCCTGCAAAATAAGTGGACATATTTTTCCCTCCCATCTTCTTTTCTCCTTAGGCATTGCCATACAATCCCTCCTAAATGCAGCTATCGTTTTGCTCTGCCTAATCTAATTAACCACCACTGGTTCAGGAGTGCTGATACAGAATATTCTGCTGTGATAGTAAAGACTTAACTCCCAAGAGGCACCACATCTTAAAAATCACCTCCACACGGCAGCAGCAGTTTGAGAACAGCTTCTGAGAGGCAGTCCTGGGGTAGCACGGTCCCTACAGATCCTCTGCTCTCTGGGCACTGCGGCACAAACATCAACACTGCAAACGCATTCTTAACATCAAGGCAATCGGCAGCCTTTTCCCTGGAACCAGCAAAACCGTTTGTGCAGAGGTGGACAAGCAACAGCAGCATATCTGCTTGTGCAGAGGCCCACATAGAATATACTTTAAATTTCTCCATTAAAAAATAGTCATTTCTGAAGATTAGAATTGTATAAAAATATGTTCATAATTAAATTTGAAAATACGAAAAGAAGGAAATCGTAAACAAAAATAAAAGTGATGCTGATTAAATTCACATAGAAGTTCTCTCTACTTTAACTTGGGTTCCATTTGGTGGGTACAGTCTGTGGATGTTTAAGTGGGAAGCATACCAAGCAAGGAGTAATTAGATACACAATCATCAGCCAGTCCATTATAAACCCAGCCTTTAAAAACACGAGATCAGCTCCTGCAGCGCTAATATTGTAATATGGATGTGATTGGGCCTTGGCTATATTCTTGATTATCAGAAACACTTGCAATCTAACTAGATTTTATTTTTTCAAATGGTAGTTTTTCTTCCTTGTAACATTTTTTTTTTTTTTTTTTTTTTTTTTACAATTTTTATTAAATACAGAATTACATATGGAATAGAAAGTAGTTATTTCATCCACTTCTACTTTAGTAGAAATGAACTTTTATGCATTTCCCATAACAGAGTCTGTACAAGGGCATATACAGAAGACAAATTATTTTAGGTTTATTTTGTAACACCAATCATGACTGTGGGTACTGGTCTAAGACCCCGAAGAATGTGTACGTTAGTATTTTAACCACTGCACCACAGCTCCTATTACAATTTAAAGATAATTCTCTTTCTTCCTCTGAATTTATATATGTATTATATATACTTGCTTATACTAATACCTTCCAAAAATATAATCAAACTTGTTCCATATGCATTTTTTCATAATGCTGCTCAGAAGTTAAATGAGTCCTTAGGAAAACTGCAATTCATTCATGCATTTCAGATGCCTTAGGGACATATAAGCTCTTTTTGTTCTCCCCCCTATCTCCACCCCCGCTCTCCCCCCCTCAACAAAATACTGAAGAATTGAGACAACTTCCAACCACACAGTCAGAAGCACATGTCTCTGGGTTTGGACTTCCTTCAACAATCTGCTACAGCTGGCATGGTGATGTCGATTCATGAAATCCTCTCTGTGTAGCTGTTTTACTTCTCCCAGAAGACTGCTGAATGCAGATATTAGACAAGCCATTAACCAGTTACATTCACTGCCCTGGACACAGTCACTCGCAACTAATTCCTTAAGAGCTTTTCTGAGCAAGTAACAAGAGGCCAACACAGCCTATTGTACAAGATGCCATTGCCTGCTTATCAGACATTTGAATCCTCTATGATACAGGGAAACTTCTAAATGGAGCCTACACCAGCTGCTCCCCTGAAGGCAAAAGCAGATGCTGGCCTTGCATTCACATTCCTACTAAATTTCTCACAATGATCGCTGTCATGTAGATCCTTTGCTTGTTGTCAGGAAAAACAAAGCTTATGTATCAGCAGCTTGCAGCATCTGCCTAAGTAAGATCAACAATCCTAGTGTTTGCAGTTCTTCTAAATGGTTGTAAAAGCTGGTTACAGTGTTCACACCCAAAAGGCAAAGGCTATTTTATCAACAGAGCAGACTGGTGCTCCACGAGTGTTCTAAAAAAACAGTGAGTTAGAAAAGATGGGGGTAATCCTTCTGGTATTTTTCTTTTCATTAAATGATTCTAGTAATAGTCTTCATAGTTCTTAGGGTTCAGACAATAAAGAATGGCACCCCCAAATGAAAATATAGTTGCACCCCAAGCCAGGCCATAGCCCCAGTTGAACTCATGGTATATTTTCAAGCTGACTGTTTCGATGAACTTGATTGGGTAGAGGACTAAGCTGCACACCTGAAGAACAACTGAAAGAGAAACAAATCAGATGTCAGAAGAGGCCTTAATACATTTCCATAAAACTACCACAAAACCAAAATTTGCATTTCCAAATGTTCTTGGTGCAGTTCTGTGTAGTAAGTACTGCCCTTTTTGAGTACTACATATTTATGCATACACACATATGTATGCATATATATAATATCCATATACATCACATACGCAACCTTTACTTCATCCGAAGAACCGAGCAGGTCTTGCATATTCCTCTGATGATGAAAAAATATTATTGTTATGCTATGAAAACAATCCATCAGGTGTCTGGTAAATAAATAGTGAAAACAATTTTTTCCAATTCTTTTCTGTCTCTCTTCATTGTATTTTGGCCTGGAAACATTATTCCTTCTGTAGCAACAAATCTAAAATCTCTTGTTCCAATCCTATTAAAACCAAGTCAAAACAGTGAGAAGCAAGAACAAATGAGTATTAAGAAATAAAGCTCAGAATCAAATCATTTACTTCATCTAACAGTAATTAATTGCAGTAGGTGATCCATATTTATGTTCAGTGGAGGCTCACCAAATTACCTATTTCACATGCATTACTGTGTAGTGTAATCAGAATTAATGATATTACTGCACAGAATACCAAGGAATCCATAAAGTTTGATCAATCACTAAACTTCCCACTTGCAAAGCATTTCCTTGTATTATGAATTTAGAGGGCGGGTCAGAGATGTTTCATGCTAAAAAAAGTTAATAAAACAGATCAAATCCAAGGCATGAAAAAGCTTAAAAACCATTAGTTTCTACATCACTGTCTCTGAGTGCCAGATCTCATGCAACTTGATCCACACATCTGCAGAGAAATTCAGCATCTTGGCTATTGCGTTACATCAAAATAGCACAAAGTAACCTGAAAGGGAAAATGCAGATGAAGAACCCTAATTTTCATACAAAGAATTCAGCTTCATTGGTGCCCATTCTCTTTTAAAGTCAGGCATACTGCTGACAGCATAATTGGGACAGCAGTCTCCAGAGTAAGCAGCTGAAAATTATACTTATTTTGAAGTACGAGAACAAGACAAATGATTCAGCGATTCTCCCAGCTTCTAGTTCAGCCATCTACAAATGACTAACCATCCCAGGAACACATAAAAACTTTTTTTTTAACCTTCAAATTCAAGATCTGGCTCCCTTCTAGCATTTAGCACAACCAAATTATGAAGACTTCAGCACAAGATTTCCCCTACAGACTGCCATCCCTCTGATGCGCTCAGGATGAGCGCACCCACAAAACAGAGCACATGCTTAAGCATTTGCAGACCTGGGATGTATTCTAATGAAAGTTCAGTAGTGTGTAACATAATGCCATAATGACAGTATTAACATTGATTGGGAACGTCTTTTATTTATTTATTTTGTTAAAGAGTTTGCAAGGTATTTTACAAAGAACAATCACTCTTTATAGAATTTTTATAAAGCCAGTGGACAGCAAAGAATAAGACCACTGGGCCTACAGAAGCCCTTTTGAAATTACACAGGGAAACCACAGGAAAATAATGTTAATTATATTCTCCTGTTGGTTGAACATTTTGCACACCTGAAAACCATCATTTTTGTTTTAATTCCCACATGCCCTATTTAGTGCTGTCAAACTGTCACCATCCATTACACACCTGGAGCCTAATGCTCTCCTATCCTCAGGATGGGGACTGCAAGGGGGAGAGGACTTTTAGTACTGATTACATACACTGATAACACTGCATAAAACACACACTGGAAATTCATCCCTGCCTAGCAGCCAGTTAGCTTACAGACTAGTCTTTGGACTCCTCCTTGGGACTGACAAACTGAACAATGTTTGGATTTTCTGATATGGGTACCAAAATCCACAGGATTTTTTTTTTTTTTTTTTTTAATCCCAGAGTTATTGAAGTGTTACTTTCCATTATTTCATTTTAATATAATTTTTGCTTGCCAGCTCACAAAATACTGTACAGTACTGGAGAACTTTTGACAGCACATACCAGAGAAAGCTCCTACTCTTATGAAAAGATTACATATTCTAATTCTGTATAATGAGAGTATCATCACACCCCAAAACACTTCAACATATGTTCACTTTTAGAAGCATCTTTAAGACCATTCAAAGTCAAAGAGGATTTCCTCAGACGAATGGGTAAAAGTTCACTAATGGCCTCCTGAACAGGGGCTGCAGCACCTTGGCTGGGTCAATACAGAAATTGCCCTCAGTGTGCATGTATCTATCAAGTTTCAACCAAGGAAACTCTCTACTTTTCCTCAATCTAATATGAGAAGCATATGGAATTTTATTCTATAGGCTGGACTCGTCAAAACAAAGCAGAAGAGTGGTTACACCAAAAGAACTTGTGACTTAAGGAGCAACAGCTACGACAGATGGTTCTGACATATTTGATGAGGTTTCCTGCTTTTGCTACTATTAGTTCATCTACACTCATGAAAAAAATTTAAAGTGTTGGTAAGAACAGGTAGGCAGAAACAACCACACTGTATAACACTGCTGTCACTTTGCACTAATTTAGTGTCCTACCTTTGATACTCCCTATAAAGTGGAAAAAGACCACAAGAAGACAGTAAGTTATGAAAAATGGCCTGTAAGATCCAAAAAGATGTTAAAGTCAACGCCTGCAACTAGTGATTTGCTTTCAGTGAATTTAAATGGACTCCATGCTACATTGACCTGTTTCCTATGGAATGTATGGGTATTACACTTCTTGAGAAACATTGGTTCTTTCCTGTAGAAAAAAAGGCTGCAAAATAAATTTTTAAAGAAAAAATCCACTTTAAAACTCTTTCTTGTTCTTCTTTGAACAGACTATTCATTTCAAGTTTAGACCGATTTTTATGGCTAAAGTAATGACAACTGCAAGAGAATCGTACAGGAACAAGAATAATAGTTTTACTCTATTTACATGAAATATACACACTCATCATATTAAACATACCAAAAAAACCCACAACAAATCATTTAAAACTAGGAAAGTATTCTTTTTTTTCCTTTGTTAAAATGTTTAACAGACTTGCTTATAAAGCCTCTTTTCAATTAGTCCCTACTTATGAAAATCGTGGTATTAGTAAGAAATTCAGGTATTTCTCAGCTACTCTCGACCATTCTTTCATTCACATATGCTTTATTAAAAACCAATGGGTGCTGCATTTTCGAGGATTAACAGACAAGAAACTACTGTACAGGAAGTTTTTGTACTTAATACAATCCTGTACAATTAACTGGGAAGGAGCACAAAGAGAAAGGGAGGGGTTATTCATGCTGATTTTTAAAATAGTGCTAGCTTAGAACAGGCCACCCTACTACACAGGAAGATGAGGAATTTCATCAGGAGGTCCAGCTGACCGAGCAAGTAGTTTTTCAATGAACATGTAAGAAAGGAGCATACATGAACAGGAAACAAAGCTTGACAATGAGTGGGAAATATAAAAGCATAGTTTTGATGCACAGATACAAAACCAGGAAAGCTGAAGCCCAGCTGGAGCTCAACATAAAGCTGGGAAATGACAAAAAAAAAGTTAAGAATTTCCACAGGTGCATTAATTGCAAAATGAAATTCTGAACATATTCATCCAATGATGGAAAGAAAAGCCAGTCTAATGACAGACAGTAAAAACATGAAACCTTCCCCAAGATCTCCAAGGGTTGTGGAAGATTTGGGAAGAATTAGGACACTCAGCAGTTACCTGTCTACGGGGATGGATGGGCCCGACATAAGTGTGATGAAAGCGATGGTCATTGCAATTGTGAAGCTTCTCTCACCTATACAAAACTCAACAGCGATTCGGAGATATTCGCAATGACTGGAAAAAAAGGTTAAAGTTGTGCCTGTGTTTCAAATTGATTAGAAGTAAAAAATTTACAGAATTATAGGCTGGTCAGCCTCACTTCAAACCTTAGAAATACGGAGTGTACCTCCAAACACTGGCAGAACAACGAGGCAATCTGTAGGCAGCACAGATTCACCAGCCAAGAGCTAGGGTTCAAAAATCTGACAAAATGATTGAAGCCTGCAGCAAATCACCCTTAGGAGGGAGATGAAGGCACTAGTTTTATTTAGATACATGAAGAGGAGACAAAGGAACAATTTCACAGCAGCCTACATCTACCTTCAAATGCAGCTGCAAAGATAGAGAAACAAAGCTTTTTGTAGTGCCAGGAAACCCAGGATATTGGCAATGGATGTGAAATTCAGTTTCAGACATTCATGATGGGTATCAGGAAAAAGAAAAACAACATATGGAGGCAAGTGTGACAGTAGGACAACGTACTTGAAGGGGTTACACAATCTTATTCTTTGAGTTCTTTAAGACTGGTCAAGATAAAGCAAAGTTAACAGATCAAATGTTAGTGATTATTCTGCTTCAACAATGAGGTTGGGCCACATGACCTAGAGTATCCTGTCAATATCCTGTCAACTTATTTCTTTGATGCTGTCATTCTTTCTGCCTTCTTGTAGCAACTTAACTACTTCCTTCACCTTAATTGTTCAGAGCACTCTGCCACTTCTTCACAATCAAATTCTGCTCTCCAATATAACTGCAGTTTTTGTAGCTTCATTGTAAGAGTAAGCTCGGCAAGTATACTGTTATTCTATGTTTCACAGCCTTATAAATATAAATAACAGCACAGAACTCAAGAGTTAATCAAGCAGAACTGTGCTCTCATTTCCTGTCAGAATATAAAGACATGTTCTTTAAGTATTTTCCAAATATTATCTGCTTGTCATTCATCTAATCCCTCACCCACACTTTCACTTAACCATCATTTTTCCAGCTTATACGTAAGAACACCCTGTGAAATGTGTTAAAAGCTTACTGACCCCAAAGGTTCTTTTTCTAAGACCTAATCATAAAAGGTAATGAAATTGTTTTGACATAAGTCATCCATACGAAATTTCATTACCTCCCAGTCAGTAAAGTTGGGTCATAATGGGCTGAGAAGGAGAAAAATTATTAAGACAGAGAGAACACAAGCTCTGCAGCTTCTCAAAAAGCACTGTTAGAATATAGTGCATGAACACAAACACCTTTTAAATTTACTTTTTTAGTTGCTTTTAAGGACTCTCAACAATTACATGCTTTCTTTCTATTCTTAAACTTTGACTCTGTTGGCATTCATTTGGTAACCACATCATGAGACTCCCTACACTGACATGTGTAAAAGACTGGACATAGTACTTTGAGAATGCAGCTCTCAGGGACAGTTTGAATCAGGAGCACTTTGATACCCCAGCAAGTATATAATCTAATTAGGTCCCTACAAAACAAAACAAAACAAAACAAAACAGAGCTATATGAGGACACACAGCCTACCAGCTCAATTAAGACTGATTTTTGGTCTTCACACAACACACTGACACAAGCCACCATGAGATAGTAACAGCTAGCAGTGAGATAATGTCTACAAACCCCACTGAACCCAAGGTAGCTCCATGCAAAAGTGTCCTGCAACTCTGCCTCTGTATGCTCCACATTTTCCCATTACTTGAAGTATTCCTGTTCCTCTCCCAGTTACAGAGAGCTGATAGTGCATGGTTTAAACATACACTTCTGTTGGTTATTTGCTGACTTATTCTCAGTATCTTGACTTTATCACCATCATCTCTTCCAGGTCTGGTAACTCATTTGCCTTCCTTACCTACGAAGTCACTAACTAAAACCTGAAACTAAGATAAAAAACAAAATTTTAAAAAGATGCACTGAAACTAGAAGAAAAATGTCTAGAGTGAATTGCTTGGATTCTAAAATGACTGGAGGCCACTTTCGTTCTTTTCCACAAATGCCATTAATATCTCCAGACAGTATCCTCCTATCAGGCACCAGTAGAAGCACGCAGAGATGAATTCTTAATCAGCCACAGTGGTAACACAAAATATTTTGTAAGTTCACAGAACAGAGTTTTCTACCTTCACAGATGTTCTGTAAAAAACATGGATAGAGGCTTGAACCTACATACAGTTGCATAAGGCACAACTAATGTCCTGCAACCTTGACCTTCTCTTTAACTTCAGCAGTGGACTATCCTTCTGATTCTTTCAAGACATGTCAGTCCATATTCATCTCTAAAAGTATCTGAAAAGAAACATAAAATCCATAGAAAATGAACAGCATCAATGTCAGCACCAAATCCCCACGTAATTCATCTCAGATTTGCCAGATGATGAAGAAGAACAAAACAGGCTGTCTTAACCTCATCATCTCTCTTCCTCTAACAAACTTCAGGACATAACAATTTAAAATGCATGCACATGTGTACATATACATAAAGGCAAAGAGAGTAGTGAACACAACTTGTGAGCTACAGCTCACAAATCTAATTTCTCCAGTGACCAGCTGTATCAGGGAGGGTCAGGTTGGAGATTAGGAAAAGGTTCTTTAGCAGATTGCCAGGCCCTGCAAGCTATCCAGGGCAGTGGTTGCAGCCCCACGTGTTGGAGTTCAAGGACCATCTGGACTACACTATAAGACACAGGATTTGGATTTTGGGTAGTCCTTTATGGAGCCAGAAGTTGGACTTGGTGGTCCTCGTGGGTCCCTTCTAACTTGGGATATTCTAGGACTCTAAATCTCTGCCTCTGCCTCTTCATTCTTAATAGACTAGAAATAATTTTATGCACAGGACTAAAAACTAAGCTATAGGCCAAATAGTAAGATTTTTCCTTTGCTCTTCCCCCTCAACTCCTCCCAGTACCAACTACCCACTAACTGAGAGATATGGCAAGAACGGTGCATACCTGAACAACTACTAAATTACTACACGTAATGATAAATAAAAAAACAAATAAGAAACACCTACATAAATTCAAGAATCCCATTTCCTTGAAAGTTAAACACCCAACATGTTTTATAATGTCAAAATTAATGTTAATTTTTGAAAGTAATGGCATTAGCGCCTTTATTTATTCAACCAGCTCAGCAATGCAACAAACAGAGCAAAAAAAAAAAATACAATTTCTGTTCAGAGAATCTGATCCTAGTCTGTGCTCTTTTTCTCAAAGTGAATAAAATATAACCTACTTATATTCCGTGAACAAATAAAAGTGCATCTCAAAATGCTGTGGTTCAGTCAAACTAAGAAAAACAGCAGGGGGCAGCAGGAGTCTTCCCTAGAGCTTCCTTTCATTCCAGAATGCCCTTCACACGCCTAGTTTTTATTTTTTCATATCCCTGTAAGTGGCTTTTTCAAATATGTCCTGAAGACTAGGTTTTTTCAATCCCTTCATTATGGACTATCAAAAGGGGCTTAAGCTGCTAGCTCCCATGCGGATGTGAGCGACAGGATGAAGGCACACCTTTCCTGGTGAATCTCGGGAGAAATAGAAACATCCGTGCTGCCTAAGCCCTAGAACACCAGAATCCATGAAAGGAGATGATTTGATATTGTAATTATACCTCACTGAAACAGTGTCACAGACAATTAGGATGTATAAGTCTCCCTGAAGATTTTGCAACAGTCTAGATAAACTGTTCCACCCTGATGTTCTTAAAAGCCAAACAGGGACCACAGGGTGACAGTTTGTTAAATTAACAACTAAGGAAACAAAATGACACAATGAAATAAAGTTCTCCAGCAGTACAGAGGCATACATAAACACCTTGCAACATATTTATTTTTACATTAATGGCTTCAAGAGTTCACTTCCAAGCAGTTGTTTTTCCGCTTTAAAACTGTAAAAGGAAGAATGCTAAAATTCCAGAAAAGGCTTTGGATGAAGAATAAGATTGGGGCCATGCAGCTATACAAAGTCATATACTAAAAATGGTACTTAAATGGGTTTATCAGCCATAGTTTCCCCTGCTGCATGTATTCACCAGACACAAAATTAAATGCCAATAAATGTTTTTGAACTTTGAGATAGTGCAATTGCAAAACTGATTAATACCTTGCAAAAATAGTATCCTCAAAAAGCCCCTTAGGACTTAAAGAAGTAAACCAAGTGTCTCTGAATCAGTATACAGAACCAGAAACATCATCTTTTGCAAAAGTAAACTGCCCTCGTGAAATTTTAATTATAGTGCTGGTAAACTGCTTACCTGCAGCAAAGAGCATGACTGCAACTGGTCTGTAGAATCGTCTCCGAGATCCCACACAAATAGAGATCAGGCCAACCAGGAAAGCTATGAGAATGATGGCAGCACCACCCAACAGCAGAGCAAGAGTAGCTATCTGCCAGTCTGTGTGGAAAAGAGAGAAAGAAAAATATAAGTCAGTTGCAGCAAAACGAGCCCACGGGCTTGGGGATGAACATCAGAATACAAAGAACACAGAGAGCCTGCACCAAAGCTTGGGTAAATACACAGCTACACTTTGGATTTCTTTCTTTCTAATTAGCAAAACACCTTTATACAACAGATGTGATTCAAGAGTAAAGTGCCGCAACCTCCCACACATTTTCAAGACTTAGTTGGCCTCACTGGGATTTTAGCTTGAGGAAGACTGAATAATTTGGTAGCTTGGTTTTGCCCAATTTAGAATGAGAAATAGAAGCTGGGCCAGAATCAGTCAGCATGCGTTAGCTGACCCCAGCTAAGTGCTGTAACTTTCTCAGAGAACAGAGCGAAAGTCAAACCTCTGCTTGAGCTGACTGGGGTGGCATAGGAAGGGAAATGCAAAGGCTGATCATGGACACATGCCACCGCAGAGGCAGCAAGGCCAAGTAATAACAAAACTATAGGAAGAAGATGATAAAGGAAAGGGAAAATAAATCATTTTCAATACTAATAAAAATGGATGTTAAGCCCTTATAAAGGCAGTAATGTTCATTACCTGCACCGAGTCAAATCTGAAATCCATTCTGAAGTGTCAATTTTACTTTTCTTCCCCCAAAAGCAACTTCTTGATCGAACCCTGTGTATTTGCTAGCTATTTTCACGCATTATGGATGTAGTTATGAACGTCCTTGAAGTCTCAGATAATATAAAAGCAAAATCAATTTGTAAGCAGATGACCACCATGGATCTACAGAATGTCTAGCTTAAAAGATTCTGTAAGGCCTTAGAGAAGCACATGTTTGTGCTCCCTCTCTTTGCAGTTCTCTTAAGACCCTGTTTCCCTGCAATCGTGGGCTTCAAGAAAAGGAATCCAATTACTATTTATTACTCATCACTACTATTTTTTTTTACTTTAAGGAAGAAGATCCATAATCAGCTTATGAGAAAAGGACCAATGGATCATCTCATTACTTTGAAAGTACTATCATGCATACAGTGATCAGAATGAAATGGCTAAACGTGTTACATAGTTCAAAGTAAATAACAAGATTAATTATTCTCAGAATAAATGAAGAGATTTTAAGGTTACTAAGAACAACAGCAATAAAAATCCACATTCTTTTTTTGAGAAGATCAAAATTCTGTGTTTAAAATTAAAAACAAAAAAAAAAAAAACATAATCAACGAATAGTACAGCTTGCTTCAACAGGGACCTAATCTGCTGAAGATACCTACAGTGCAGCTGTGGGCTCTGGAAATGGAAGATTTGCAGCTATAATCACAAAAAGCCACTGCGTGCTATATGAAAAAGGATAAAAGGGAGAAATGAAGAAACTGAATTAAAGAGATAGAAAAGCATTTCTAAAAGAGACAGTTACTTTACACGTGTGCTTGAGTACACACTTATTTTCTTTTTCCTTGTCCGTTTTTTTCTAGACATAGTAATTATAGTATTAATAAACAATAAGTATTCGGCCTCCAAGAACATTTACTCCTTGTTTTGTTATTTGGCCAAGGCTGGATACAATCCTTCATTCTCCTACTTTCAGCATGCAATCTAAAACAGCAGTTTGCTGTATGTCATAGCATCACAGAAAGGCTTTGCATGGGAAGGACCTTAAAGCCCACCTAGCTCCAACCCACCAGACTGTTCAGGGTCCAATCCAACCTGACCTTGAGCACCTCCAAGGATGAAGTAGCCACAGCTTCCCTGTGGTGGTGGAATTTCTTCCTTGGATCTAATCTAAATCTCCCCTCTTTTACTTTAAAAATATGTCCTGCTGCTTTACTCTTGGTGGGTGAAAATATGATTTTAGTTATGGATTGGAATTCTATGAGAAGTGGTGTTTAACACTGACATGATACTTCAAAAACACTAAGGAGTTAGTTCAGTGATGATTTAGACTGTATTTCTCCAATATCAGAGTGTGCTATGGATATAAAAATAGAGAAATAAATAAACAGAACAGACCATTTTGGAACACCATGAAAGAGATCCCTGCACTTAAGAATTGCACAGATATAAAGACTAGACAAATCCATTCTGTCCCAAAGTTAAAAGGCATAGAAAAGTGGTAAGTCAAAGTGCCAGATGGGAAAACTAAAAGCCCAACATTTTTGAAAGACACAACAAATAATAAAATGTTAAATGTTATCTTCACATTGACCACATGCCAAGTCTAACGCAAATAAAATACATGCAAGTTGAGAGTAGTAAATAAATGGGAAAACCTTTGAGTACGCTACTGCTTCCCAAAGCAAGATCACCAATCAAGTAAAAATAACTAAGGCAAAGATGATGGAAGCAAGAGGTTAGAATATAATTTAGTTCCCAGAACAGACATATCAATGGATTTTAGAAAGGTTAAAAAATAAGCTACCTTACTATAGTAAGATGTGGGAGGTAAAAGCACAAACCAGTGTCAAAAAACACCTACGCACTCAACTAAAAGAGAAATGACTTAGTCAAACAAAATTAGTTCCTGGAATAAGAGAACCTCATCATTGATGTTGGCAAGAGGACCAATATGAAGTTATGTTCCACACTACTGAGAATTAGGTATTTAACATTGTGTTCTGGGCCAAAATGTCTAGAATTGGCTTCTTTTTTTTCCCCTGTAGTTCCAACTTCCATTCACAGGAGCACACAATGCTGCCAACCTTTATGTAGAACTGCAACAGAGGATTCTGTTTAAAGAACACTGTAGAAGTAATTCCAGTCAGACATTACTGCATGAATAATACTAGACTGAGCTTTCCTATATTACCGACCATGAAACTGTACACTTAAAACTCTTTGTAGTCTCAGAAACACCTTAACTTTCAATTCTGAAAGCCATCAGAGCTGGTGACAAAGCAAAACTTAGGTTCCATTAAGTAACACCTTCTTTCTGCAAGGACTTTCTACCTAACATTTCTTTTTGCTAATGCAAAAGAAAAGAAACATACAAAGACAATTGGATCTCCACCTCTGAAGGAAGAACACCCTCTAAGATAAGTTAGCTATAACAAAATGAACACAGCAATCACACTTTCCTACATATCAGATATCCTAAATATCAGTAGTTTCCTCAGACTGTCCAGCATCAAAATGAGAATAGCATATTTTTCCTTTACATGGTGTTACCAGTACACATAACACAACCATCATCAGCCTACTTAAAAGGCATTCAAAATATGGTTGCACCATTTCTGAGCAAGAGAAAACCTTGCAAACAAGCTACTGTACTCACTTCTAAAGACTCAGCAGTTCAGTTCATACAGAGATTAAAAAAAATGTGCGTGAAAATGAGCAAAATGGGACTTCAGAGATGATCATTATCAGTCTTCTGGATTCAAAACATGCAATATTTTAACACTTCAAGAACTCACAAATATTTTTCACTGTGCAACAACTATCTAAGAAAAATGCCAGTAACCAGTAAAATTTCACTGCCACAAATGTTTAAAAAGTGTTTAGATAGTAAAAGATGCAGACATGCCAAAATTAAGTTGCTTTGTTGTTTTGCACCCGCAGAAACAATACTTTTAAATTGAATTCTTTTGATTTTCAGGATTTAAGCAGTCTGAACAACCAGAGTCTTTTTATTATTATTATTTTAAAGCATCTTTTAAGATGTAAAAGGATTCAAGACATTTCTTAAGAAAAGCCTCAATTTATAGACTCATAGAATGTTTTAGGTTGGATGGGACACTTCCCACAGACCAGGTTGCTCAAAGTCACATCCAGACTGGCCCTGAATGCATCCAGGGAGGGGGCATCCGCAACTTCACTGGGCAACCTGTTCCAGGGTCTCATCACCCTCACAGTAAAAAATTTCTTCCTAATATCTAGTCTAAATCTACCCTCTCCCAGTTTAAAACCTTTTCCCCTTGTCCTGTTGCTACATACCCTCGTAAAAAGTCCCTCCCCAGCTTTCCCATAGGACCCTTCAGGTACTGAAAGGCCTCTAGAAGGTCTCTTCAGAGCTTTCTCTTCTCCAGGCTGAAGAGCCGCAGCTCTCCCAGCTTGTCCTCATAGAGGGGAGGTGCTTCAGCCCTCTGACCACCTTTGCGGCCCTCCTCTGGACCTGCTCCAACAATTCCATATACTTCTTGTGTTGGAGGACCCAGAACTGGATGCATTACTTCAAGTGGGTTCTCATGAGAACACAGTAAAGGGGCAGAATCTCAATATATAAAAACTGCTCTGCACTGCCCATAAAGCATTACAATGTGAATACCATAATACCATAGGAAACACATACCTCAGTTCTGATGGTGATGATAACATCTGCATAATTGTTATTTTAACAGATTGCCTGTTAGTTTAAGGATGTGGATCTCTGTTTTTGCATATGTATGTAAATCTGAACCCAGGTACTTTGTACATCAAAACCCATATGGTATAAAATTCATAAAAACTACTATCTTGAGTAAAAAATATTCTTGTATATGATTACATTTCAGTTAATTGTTCAAACATAATTAAGTGCTCTTTTATAAATACAGACTGATTGCACCTCTTTGGGAAATTCTACCTGTTTCTTAGTATGGAAACCACATTAATTTTCACACTGAAAGATGGGATTTTTCCTCTCTTCGTCCCTCCAAATGAAATGACCTAAAGCTTTGACAGTATATTCAGTTTTAATTAGAAGCAGCTCTATATGTGCTATTTCTTGGGCCAAACAGTACTTTGGTACCATGTTAAAATCAGAAAAAAGTCATAAAAAGATAGAAAAAACCTCTAAGTTTTACATTGTTTATTAAAAAAGATCATTTGTTAACATAAGAAAGAGCAAGACAAACAGTTAGCATAATCACAGTTACTATATTTTTGGTGAATTCTCGAAAAGTTAAATATTCCCTGTATGTGGTATTCCATGGTAAGAGGTTTTAGAAGTAAAAACATATTGTTGGAACATGAGAAGTATTTAGTACATATGGTTCTATCAGGAAGCGCAAGTAAAGGGAACGCATCT